GCATGGTGGGTGATATCTTACGTATTCATGTAGTGACGAGTGCGGAGGAACAGGAAGTTTCTTCATACTTTCCTTGGGAGTGTGATGGCATGGTGGAGATTCATGGACATTCGTTAGGTACTTTGAGCGTGATGAGCGTGACCCGTGACTCCATGCCGTGACCGATTGACGAGCTGAAGCACGCCCCCGATGAATTCACAATACGTTTTACAACACGTTTTCCTACACGTCCCTACCCTACCACGGCCTGTCATGGCCCAGCTGCTCTACACTCCCAACACAAAGAACTGAGCAACCCGAATTATCGATCACCTTCAATATGGAACGATTCCTAGTCAGTGTCAATGTTTACACTTCTGTGCCTAACACAGATGATCTGGATAGATTCGGGTGATTGTCAATTGCAATGATTGCTTGTTGGGTGTTCGTCTTCATTGTATGTCGTCCACGGACTCATTCTGATAGCACTTCAGACAGAAGCTGCATGCCCCGAGCTTGTGTACCATGCATCATGGTGTTATTATTGTATAGACAGCACTTCAGACAGCAGTACGCTGTAGTCGACATTCATTTTGGTTAAATGCGGGACAAGGGGGGTGATGCTGCTGCTGTAGTCGAATTGTAGTGTCGTGGGCGTGTAGTTCAGCTGTGAGCACGCAAACGTGCTGCAGGGATTGTAGGTGTACCTTCTCGGGCTTGTGTACCCATTTCTTGCTTTCACTCGCATCTTCGCAAGCTGTTATCAAAATCAAATTTTGATCTCATCTCGAACTTCCTGGCAACTTCGAAGATGAAATACCAACTCCCAACACCAGTCCGCAAACACCCTATTTATACCCGTTCCGATCTCTCTCTACCCAGTACCTTCGTATGTCCGTACTGATACAACACTCGACGCGGTCGATTCCCGTGGTCGCAGGCTAACTTACCCTAAAAAGGTACACTCAAATGAAATGGCCCCGAGCGGTCCGCAAGTCAATAAAAATCAACGTCAGATATTCTGGAGTGCTCCACTCCCTTTGCGCGCTATGCGAGGTAACAACCGAGACTAGGGGTCACCATCACAGGCCGGAGAGAATGAGGTACACCCCCTTGATTCAATCTTGGTACTTCACAACGCAAGGCCATCTGGCACAGAAAAAGGGAGAAAAGAGAACAAGAGAAAAAGAGAAGAGAATAAATGGAAACAGTAAGGAAAAAGAAAATGAAAAAAAAGAGCGAGGACAATAAGGACCAGGCCGAAAATAACAAGAAATAACAAACAGAAAAAGGCACACGGTGGAGAGACCACTAACGACAAGCAAACACGCAAACATGGCCACAAACCAGCGATATATTGTAGTGGTACGTCATCACTAGTTGGGGGTTGGTGCAATGGTGCAGCGTTGGGGGGGGATGAATTGGCTAAAAGAAATCCAATCCGGCATGTATCGCGCCACTCGGTCCGTCTCTTGTTTGCTTTTTTCCCTCGCCGTCTCGTCCGTCTCCTGCCCCCCTCCCGCCCCATTATGTTGTTGTTGTTGTTGTTGTCTTCACATTAAAAACCATCCCGGGCTCTATATCCAGTACCTCCTTCTGTCTCAATCTCTCCGTACTAATTCAGCACTTGACTCGGTCAATTCCGTGGTCACGGGTTAACGTACCTAGAAAAGGTATACCAAAATAAAATGGACCCCAAGGGTTAGCAGAGCGATAAAATACAAGAAAACAAAAGAATCAGAAACAAACAAATAAATAAATAGT